TAAACCTTAATAGGGCCGTGGGGTTATTTTGCGGCTTTAGGGTTTTGGGTTTAGGATTTAGGATTTAGGGTTTAGGTTCTAGGATTTAGGATTTAGGGTTTAGGATTTAGGATTTAGGATTTAGGATTAAGGGTTGAGGCTTTGGGGCTGAAAGAGTAGGGGTTGAGGGGTTTGGAGAATCAAGGAGGTGGTTTGAGGTTTAGGACTTTGAATCATCAGGGTTGAGCATTGCGGCTTAGGATCTTGCATTTTGCATCAGGTTTGGGCTTTCAAATATTGAGGGTTTTTAGGGCTGAGGCTTTTGAATTTCTGGCTTTCTGTGGTAGGGTGGTTGGGCTCAGGGTGATGGGTTTTCTGTTGGGTTTCCAAAGGTTTCGAGAAGGAGTCCTCCATGAGTTTTGGGATGGCACTGCTTCTTCACACAAAGTACTGCAGGGGTTCTATACAACTGAGCATGTTAGTCATGAACTTTATGCAGCAGTCGAACTGGAGCTTGTGCAGGCGCTGCTCAAATCGTTTCAGCATTCCTTAGGTACTCTTGAAGGGGACCCCTAGAAGAGGGACACTCGGAATCCTTGCATGACTTCCATGTGCCTGCAGGGTCCAGCGGGCCACCGAAGTGGGATTCAGTCTCGTTGGTTGACAAAGTGGATCCTAATTTTGAGAAGTTCCGATGTTACACAGAGGTGCTTGCATCAGAGCAGTTCCGTTTTGCATCAAGAGAGGTGCATAGTTTGGCTTACAAAGACTGTAGTTATCTACCAAACGTCTATCAGAATGTATCTGCAGAACGGATGCGTATGACAATCGGCCTTTTTTCCCCTCTTTTTGCGTGCAGACATTTCAGGTCGTCTCCATGACCCAACAGAGTAGGATCCTGATTCAATCAGGGATCCACAGTTTTGGGAAACTCCCTGTACATTCCTGTACATCTCCCTAGATTAACCTAGAAATTGCATTGCAGCAATGCTAGGAGGACTTGGTAAACGGACTGTGTAATCAGCCCCATGCTGATGGAGATCACAGGATTAGCAACGGCCTATAACTGGGTTTCCAATCCAAGTTATGATCCGCCTAGTGAGCAACTGCCTGGCCCCAGGTAAAATCGAAGTTAGATTCCCCCTACTTGCTGGCTTGAACAATTCTTAGGCTTTAATGCATGCCTCGGTTGTTCAGCATCCCTTTCTGCAACAGCACATGCTTCGGCAGGCAGGGGAGACGCTGCCATGGCAAGGTGCGGTCAGATCATTTGAGACTCTAAGCTGGATGCATTTTTGCTGCCACTTCCAGGTGCGGTGGCCCACCGGTTGGTACGAGGGCGACTTCCAAAATAATCAACTGCACGGTGAAGGCTGCTTGCTACGCCGAACCTGTTGCCGTCTTGAAGGGAAGTTTAGGTTTCACAGACCATTGCTGCAAGAGATCGTAGTTGGTGACGGAGTCGTGCCTGGGTCTGGTTACATTGCTTGGAACCCTACCCTTCAAACCTGCAACCTCAGACCCAGAATGCAAGCAGGATGATGTTGCACCCCAGGCGGCCTTGATCCCCAAGTGCCAGCAAACAAGGATTACGCAACATACTACGAGAATGATATCCGCTCGAGAGCCGGCCGCAGCACGTGATAAATAAATTGGCTGTAGGGACCGTATCGAGAAGAATGCAGACAACAGGCCTACCATGTCGGTCTGGATACGCGCCACAGCAGCAACAGTAGCAGAAGAAACTGCTACACTGCTTACAAGAACTTCTGTTGTGGAAGGCAAGTTTCCCTAGATCATTCCTTAAAGCACGAACCCCTCCAAAAGCTTCCTGAAAGAACCTGGAATTCTTAAGGAGATCCCGTCCCTAAACCTAAATCCCTGGCAAGTAGCCGAGAAATCCTGGAGGAACCCTTGCTCGGCATGATGGTGCAGTGTATGTTGGAACCTGGGCTAGCCTCTCAAGCTCCAGCTCAGGGTTCTTGAGGTCTTAGGGCCGGGGGTCGCAGGCTTACATGGTCCCCATTAAGTGGATACAATATGCCTTTGCGTATACTAGAATAAGATTCCCATATACCCCATATTCTATCTACTTAAGGGGAACTATACCCTAAACCCTATATAACCCATTATAGTAGTTTCCGTTTTCTTTTCCATTATCCCCATATAACCCCAATAATATACATCATATTCTATCTACTTAAGGGGAACTATAAAGGTTCAGGGCTCAGGGTTGGGCTTGGGAGTTCACGGTTTGGGGCTCAGGACGTGGAGAGTAGGGCTTTGCGTTGGGCTTCTTCTCGCTCGGTATGGACGACGGTCTTGGAATCCGGTACCTTAGCAATCTCCACTGAGGGGGGTTTTGGGGTTTAAGGATTCAGGGTTTAGGGCTTAGGGACTTTTCATTTCATTCCGGGTTTCGTCCCAATCATGGTTTCTTGGCATGCAACGGCAGGAACATGAGTGCATCGGGTTTCGCACAGAAGATGGACAGCTGAAGCCAGCTCTCTACAACCCAGTTTCATCCAGATTATGCAGGATCATTGCTGGAGTTTTATTTGAGGGACCTCCATTTCCCCATAGCATCTCCTGTAGAGAATCACTTCGCATCGGCCGGCATCGAAAGCAGGCTAAGGCTTTCATACAACAGGAGCTGGGTAGGCCCCTGGGATATTTAATATTTTCCCCAATGGCTTTAATAAGGGACCCTATATACTAATATTTTTCAATGGGTTTTAGGGGCCAACCTAGTAAAAGAGGAGTTGCTCCAAAGAGCAGCTTTTCATGACTCAAAGGTGGAACCCCTATGTATCACTGGAGTTTGGAAGGGGTATCGCTATTTGGAGAAACCCCACATCTGAAGGTGCCCACCGGGGAGGAGGTTTCAGGTTTTAGGAGTTCCAAAGTCTGGATATGAAAGTAGGATAACTGTAATTTGTTCAGCCTACTTATCATTCTCCATGAACCAAAAACCATGAACTACATGAGAGGTAGTTGCGTCTACAGGGCGTGAGGTATCCGAAGCCACCTCCATTTCTTTGAGGCGGAGACCCTAAACCCTAACCCACTCATATTAGGGTTATATTAGGGTTATATTAGGGTTATATTGGGAGGTGAGGAAGTACGCTCGCAGCATTGGCACACACGTGGTTTTGTCCAAGGGCTCGAGCCACAACAGTGTAAGCTTTAGCTTTTCCAATGCTTTTATCGCAGATGTAAAAGTTTGTGTGGTGCTATAATCCTGAAACCTTAATCCCTATATAACCCATTACAGTAATTTCCATTTTCTTTTCCATTATCCCCACATAACCCCAATATAACCGTAATATTACCGGGTAAAAATCCCCATCAGCCCAGGTCTGTGATCACAAGGAGGGTCAAGGGAGAGAGACCTGGCGTGATGGCCGATGCTATCAGGGCAGTTACCTCAAGGCCTGCTGAACACGTTTTGAAGAGAGGCGCCCGCAAACATGATTTAGGGTTTGTGGTCGACCCTGGCTGCATGGAGCATTTCTTCCAGGCTCTCGGTCAAACTCATGTTGTCAGCTTTAGCTGTTCTTGGTAGAGGTTGGTCTGGTGAAGTGTATGCAAACTGTTTCAAACACCGACTGCAGGCCAAAAATCCAGTTGTCTGACTGACATCACACTACTGGCATCGGAAGCAGGTACTTGGAGGGGTCAGGGAGACTTAGTAAGTAGGTTAATAACCCTTATAACCCCTATAGTAAGCCCATTTATCCCCATTATTAACCTACTTACTAAGTCCCCCTGACCCTAAACCCTTAACCCTAAACCCTAAATATTATAGTAGCTTCCATTTTCTTTTCCATTATTACTATATGACCCTTATATATCCCCATTATTAACCTACTTACTAAGTCCCCCTGACCCCCCAAGTAACAGTTAAAGGTTGGATTGAGGCGGGGATTCCCCTACAACTGGGTCAGGTCCCCGGTATTTGGAAAAGAGTCAAATGGGGGTTTCCCCAAAATTATGGATACCTTTTTGGGGGTCCCCATAATAAGGGTTATAGTATATTGGGGTCTATATTGGGGTCCCATTATTTAGGGAAACTACCAAATAGGTTACTGGAGAGCAGCCGGAGGTGTCGTGTCCGGCAATGCTGCCTTTTCCATGATTCCGGAGAGTTGTGCAATTGTGGGAGGTGTGGTTCTGTGGATTAGGGTTTAGGGTTTAGGGTTTAGGGTTTTTTTGCATGCCTTGCCATGTTAGCAGGCAACCTAAAAGCCATACCGATTTGCACACAGATGGTGCTGGGAAGAACAAGTTCTAGGCAAGTTGCGAAGAGTTGTCCAACAGGAGCTGCTCAGGCTTCCAAAGGCCAAAACATACACCCCAAAACGGCGATTTATTTCCTCTGGTCGGTTAGATCCCTAGATAGCCATTATCAGCTTTATGGTTACGAGCCAAAATTCCTAGGTGTGTCCCTTCGGAAGACCTTATATACATGTGAACCTGAGATTCAAAGATTTGAGCCGCGACGCCCCGAGTATGTGCCTTTACTATGGCATGCTTTTCATTCAATTCCTCCCGCCAAGCCCAATTGTTAGGGCACGTTGTCAAGCTAGGGCATTCAGCAACATATGTGCCAGAACATCTTTGCGACGGGGACTCCTTATACGCCCCAATCAGCAAGTATCTTCAGCCCTTGTTTGAGAAGCTCCCTCATGAAGCCAGCAGCCTCCTCTGCCAGGATCGGCGACATGGCTTCGGCTGTTTCAGGTGGTGCGTTGCCCAGATTCGCACAAGGTTTAGGGTTTGTGCCGCTAGGGCGGCCGTACCCTGTGTCGTGAGCTTGACCAGAAGTATGTCAGTCAAACATGAGAGTCTATAGGTGGATTAAATACATTCATGGTTGCATGCGTTGCCCGTAAGCTAGCAACAGGATTCGATCGGCATAGGGAGACCTTAACCACGAAACCCCCAACTCTAAATCTCAAACCGTACGCCTTGTCCGGTTCTGGAGCGGAACTAAGGTTGGCCCAATACATCGCCTCCTGAGTAGTATTTTATTTGGGGATACTATTATACCCATTAGAGAGTAAGATTATATCCTTTTTTTGGGGTATAGTATCTTATATACGGAACATTATCTTACTTGGTTCAACCACCAAAACAACACTACTCTCCTGGACCTACCTGAAAGGTTTCCAAGCATTTCTAAGTTCCAGTGAGGGAGGTGCAGCTCCAAGCCATCGCAGTTGAACTTTTGGTCGGGTGATGTTAGAGTGGATCACGCAAAATCCGGGAATGCAACCCCCCTAAACCTTGACGCTGAGCTCTAAACCCTGCAATTTGTAAAGCCCCAACCCTAAACCCTAAGCCCTAAACCCTAAACAGTCCCTAAATGCCGAGCTCTGGACCACAAGCTCTGAACTTTAAGTTTCCTGCACGGAGGCCAGATGGCAGACAGTACTGCGGCGAGCCCGACCCCTGGATAAAGGACGTGATGAAAGTAAACATCTACTAGAGTTCAGGATTAGGGTTATCATCCTGCCATTGGGATCATAAGTGTAAGGTTTTATAAGGCGTGAAAGGGCTTGTGGGGTTTAGATGAGCAAAATACGAAGAGGACACTGAGGTGTTTTGTTGGCTCTTTTAACGGAAAAAATGAAGTAGAGGGTTCAGGCGAATGGACAGAAGCATGCTGAAAGTGCTATTGATTAGGTGGGCTCCCCCAGTAATGGTGGCTATAAGGGATAATAAGGACTGTATTAGGGTCCTCTTATACTCCGATTATACCACTATTACAGGGTGGGGGGTCCTCCTAAGGTATTGATCAGTTGAAGCCTGTGTGTGCATGCAAACTGCGCAGGTCTGAGTTCCTGAGGAAGCTAGTTAGGGTTAAGGGTTTAGGGGGTATATTGGGATAATGGAAAAGAAAATGGAAACTACTGTAATGGGGGTCTATGTAAGGGATGTATTGGGGTTATATTGGGATCATGGATAAGAAAATGGAAGCTACTACACTCCTGATTGCGAAAAGCACGCCCAGAACCAATAGAAGAACACTTTCAGTAGTAGCAATTAGGTGGACCCCCCACCCAGTAATCGTGACTATAAGGGATAATAGGGGTTACATTAGGGTCCTCTTATATTCCTATTATACCACTATTACAGGGTGGGGGGTCCTCCTAACGCATAGGCATAGGGCTTGGGGTAGTAATAAAAGTACCAATAATAATAGAAATAGTAATAATAGTAATGATAGTAATAGTAATAGAAATAGTAATTATAATTGGGGTCATAGCAAGCTCGAAGGACCAGAAGTGATGGAACAAACACAGCTGGCCCCTGTTCAAAGCTTGGATCCAACTCCCCAAACTGCGAATATCCCTTCCATTTAGGGGATTATATAGGGTTTAGGGTTTAGGGTTTAGGGATATACCCCCGTTACAGTAGGTAGTTTCCATTTTCTTTTCCATTATCCCAATGTAACCCCTAAACCCTAAACCCTTAGGCAATTTTTTGCGTTTCTAGAGGTGGGCTGCGGGCCGACAGCATGGCAAGGGTCGTTCCCTGGCTGCTGTACTTTTCTGGATGGACTTCCCAGACCCCCTAAAGGATCCAAAAAATGGAACCCCCTCATTATCCCCTAGTTTCCCCAATGTAGTAATGGGTTCATATTGGGGGGGTTCCATTTTTTGGATCCTTTAGGGGGTCTGGGTTAGGGCTCTATATTCTGGCTTCGTAAGGATCACAACATATGCTAAAGGCTTTGCGTGTCCCTTACAAGGAAGGCCTTGGCTCACGGGAGTACTTGACAAATTTAGTTTAGTCTACAGTTATCACGTGCTTCTTTTTTGGGACATGAACCATATAAATCAAGCGGGGACCACCCAACAGCGAAGGCTAACGGAAACGGTAGAAACCAAAAGAGTGACATGGCACCACCCCCATTTTGTGTGAATCAGCTTACCTGAATGATTTCGTCGGTTGCTCATATGGGGCTTTCTCAGATTTCCGGATCTGTTTGTTCAGGCAGCAAAGGTGTTATACAACGGAGTATACGAATGGATGTAGTTCAGAGAAACTCCCACATCTCATTGGCATGAGTTGTAAAACTACAAATGACAAATAAGGATCCAAAGGAAAGCCACACAATGTCATAAACAGTTTTGAAAGTCAGGTGTGCTCCTTTCCAGTGGCCGAGTTCGTGAAGGTCCATGGATCACCACCCTAAAGCCCAAATGGTAGTTTCCATTTTGTTTTCCATTGCACCAGCTTTGCAGCTCTGTGCACGCTAGGGGTTCAGGGTTATACTAGGGTAATGCTAGGGTAATATTAGGGTTATATTAGGGTTATATTAGGGTTATATTAAGGGTTATATATTGGGGTTATATAGGGAGTTATATTTTGGCTTATATATTGGGGTTATATAGGGAGAATGGAAAAGAAAATGGAAACTACTATTAATGAAAGGGTGATGATGCGGCTGCAGTTGGCTTGTTTGAAAGCTCGAAGGGCGTCTAAACGTGTCATGTCGTCTGCAGCTATGCTAGATTGCAAGAAGATCTACCTTTATTTGAGTGCTGAAGTTGCTCAGCAGATCTCCGAGGCTCTTGAATTTCAAAAAAACAAGCACTCGCAGCATAAAGTGCAGCAGACTCAAAATTTGCCCTGCCCGTACAGGTCATTGGTGCAATGGCCAGCGTACACGATGGCTTTCTGAGGCAGGATGATGCTTCAAGAAGCTTGTTCCAGACGTTGCTTACTGGTGATTTCCATCTTGGCGCTCTGTTGTTTCCAGATCTCATTCCAGTGCCGCGCAGACCCTTCATCGTACACAGCCTTGGCGTTGCTTTCACGGCTTCCAGTTGCGCCGTGTCTGCGCAGGCAAGAGAGTTGCAGCCTGGCGATGACTTCTTGGAGTTGCCTTCCCAGATGGACCGAACTCTCTGAGGCTTTTTTTTTTTTTTTTGCTTTGCGGAGGTCGTAGATAGGTTTCTCAAAATGTTCCGGATACCGTGCCCCGTGGTGACCTATCATCCTTTTAGAACTCCCATGTATCTGTAGCCTGGGGGAAGTCCCCACGTGCCAGTACCAGCTGCTGCGGAGGCATGCGCTTCACAGCCGCGATCAACGGAGTGACGCAGACTCTGGCGGACAAAGATCCGCTAGCTGTGGTTGGTGCACAACAGGTGCGACACCGGAGACTTGGAGGCTGCAGAAATGGCCTTGCAGGACTTTTGGCCATAGCATGTGCGCTGTGGAAGAGGTCGTCTTGAGGGCACAAGAAGCTCCTCAAACAAGTATCACAGAAGGTCATTCAATGAACGTTCATCGGACTTCCTTTCAAAGTGTTTTGTTCTCAGACTCTCATATGAGAACTTATCGAAACCTATATCCCCTTTTTAGCATTTTTGTAGGCCAACTTCCATGAAAAAGCTTCTACAATTCCTGCAGGTCTTGCAACCCTACGTAACGCCTTTATCATCTCAACCCTTTCATAAAGCAACAGATGCCAGCCAGTATGTGGGCGCGATGCAGGAGCTGGTAGGACTGGAATTTTTGGGGTTGGCATAGGGCCTATTACGGGGATTGAAGGATCTTGTCAGAGATGCAGTCCTCCATTTTTCTCAGCAAAGTGTATAGTTTGCGTGCAGAGCGCTAGGGTCAGTACCCGTCCTCGCGTACCCTTGCCCACCCAGCATTATTGCCAGTGCCGGTTCCGGAGGCCGCGAAATGCCAGTTTCGTCAAGGTTGCAGCGCTGCTATTGCCCTTTGCAGCCGAAGTTACGGCTCGCGAACAATTGCACGGTGTGACAGACGTTGCGCAACATCCCAACCTGAAGCGCAAACGGAGGTAGCGTGCGTTTGTTACCAACGCCGGGTCTTCCAATGATTCTTTGTTGCAATGAGGGTCAGACGATTGTACCACAAAGGTTCTAGAGCAGCCGCGAGCAATGGCCATAGCCACAGCAAACGCACGGTATGAGCACGGCCCATGCAAATACAAGTGATAACCAGACAGTTTACAAGAATGGTCCTCACCACGATGGAACAGCAATAGTAGTTTCCATTTTATTTTCCATTATCCCATTATAACCCCAATATAATCCTATATAATACAGTAGTTTCCATTTGATAATAAGAAGTGCCTCATCATCATGGCCTCTGGATTGGAGATGACCATCAGGCTCGACAGTACGTCGTTGATGCACCACAGCAAACATATGATCGTTATGAAAGTTTTGGGCAGTGCAAGGTGTTGTGGCGCTTGTGCAGGTCGTCTTCCTTGTCTTTCAGGACCGCTTGTACTTTATCACTTGTCTTTGAAGAACTGAGAATGTGGATGTTCATGATCTTGCCTCAGTTGCGCGAATTCTTGCTAGTGGCAGTATGCTATTGTTGATGGAAGAAACCCCTTTCCATGCTGGATGTTCACAGCCTCGTACAGCAGGTTCACAGAGTGGCTCATGCAGATAAACTGTTATCCACATCCATCTTGACTTTGGCCATGTGGCTCAAGAGGGCAGGCTCTGCCCCTGCCATCAGTTGCCCTCGCCATCTTCGAGAACTTGGCCGCGAGCTTGGAGGGCATCATTTTCAAAGCTAACCACAAGCATGAACCGCAAGTAGACCTCAGTCTCGTGATCAGTGTCTGCATTCAAGTGATGCCCCATGTTGTGTAGTTTGTTGCGCATCTTCACCGACATCATCATCACATTCGCCATAGTGGTTGTAGTATTTGTTGTCACGCCGGCTGCCACGGCCGCAATACCCTTATGGTAGGAATTCCTAGTTCAGACATTCTTTAGATAACTTCAATACTGACTTTCGCGTATACTCTGGTCTCTCCCTTGTCTGACTTTTGCGCTTCCACCCCCCCCCCGCATAAGCTGGCTGTCTGCAATGTTTCAGGGAACAAGCTGAAACCTAAATTTGTCAATGTTGAGGCTGACCGAGATGATTGATTTTACTGGTGACAGCTTAGTATCAAACAGGCCCGCAGAGTCGGGACACAAATCCTGTAAGAGTTTAGGGTGCAGGATTCTGGCTAGGCCCCTGGGATATTTAATATTTTCCTTAATGGCTTTAATAAGGGACCTTATATACTAAGATTTTTCAAAGGGTTTTAGGGGCCAACCCAGGATTTCTGTTTGAAGGCTCAGGCTTTATGCGTCAGAGCTTGAGGTGGAGGGTATGACCCGAACCCCCATACCCAAGCCTAAACCCTAAACCCAATATACCATAGTAGTTTCCATTTTCTTTTCCATTATGCCTATATAACCCCAATATACCATAGTAGTTTCCATTTTCTTTTCCATTATCCCAAAATACCCCAATATAACCCTAATATAACCCCAATATCCTATAGTAGTTTCCAAGCCCCTAAACACTACACCCTAAACCCTATGGGCTAGCTCACTGCATGTATTTCTACAGGACCTTCGGGCTGTGGAGAAAAGGTCCCGTAAACAAAGGCCCTAAACCCTGGGAACGGGAACAGGGTCTCTCTGGCGAGTGCTGCAAAGATGTCCCCGGCTGAGTCTGGGAGCTGGGTAACTGGGAGCTTGCAACTAGGGTTATATTGGGGTTATGTATGGGGGTTATTTAGGGGATAATGGAAAAGAAAATGGAAACTATTATATATGAGCTATAGTCTACATTCTTAAGGGGGTTATTTAGGGGATTCTATAGGAGACTACTATAGGGTTATTAAGGGGGATACTAGGAGTTTAGACTATAGCTCATATGGCTCATGGTGAGCTAGGCCTTCTGGCATTCTTAGATCTTTTTAGCATTGGGAAATCAGCAGGCGTATTCTGATGCGCACAGATGTGGAAAGTGTAATGAAGTTAGAATGCCATTTCGTGTTTCTTGTTTTTCCTTGCGCGGGTCCCTTCATTAAGAATCCGCATACCTCAGATATGCCTTCCGAGTGCATTACCCTCACTTCTATTCAGGATCGGAGCGCATGACCATGGACCATAGACTGTTTGCTTCCCTTGTTTGGACTCTCACTTGGTGAGCTTTCATGATTTTCACTCAAATTGGACTGTTTTCAGTTGTGCGTTCTTGGTTGGTTTTCCCAAAATCAGGACTCCTTAAACCCAGGCCCGAAGACCATTATTTTGGTCTGTCTTGGAACTGTTCAGATTAGGTCCCATATCATGACCTTTACATCCCACAATGTTCGGGACACGCAGCTAGTTCGAGGTCTAGGATTTGGTGCTTAGGTTTTCGAGTTTAGGGCCCACGTCTGGCCATTTCTGGAATGGTGCCCTCCTCGTATGCCCTCCCGTCACAGGATGTCAATCTGAAACTCTACACACTTCACGAATTCAGGATATCCTAAACCCTTCAGGATAGCGCGCGTGCTGTCGCGCACTGCGCCGGCGGCCCGGCCCACGGCCCGACCCTCACATTTAGATTGAATTGCTGTACATGCCCTGGTTAGCAAGGGAATGCTAAGTGTAAACACTCTGATCCTGATTTTTTTCCTGGTAGCAGTTCGCAATTATTGACTGCTTTCCTGTTCCTCTGCCAGGAATTTAGCCCATGTCTGGTCCTCAAGATTTTGTGGATATGATGGCCGTCGTGTCTAAGAGTATACAGGCAGACACTAACACAATTTTGCTTCTTCGTCTTAGAGACTAAATGCGACACTCCAGTCACGTGGGAGTACTGGTGTGTCATTCCTACCGCTGGATGAGTTCTTAAACCAAGGAGCTATAGAATGCCAGGAATGCATACATACGGGAGCTATAGTCAAAGCTGTTGTGTGGTTCCTTGTACTGTACGTTTTGTGAGTGCTCGCATGGTGACCTTGTTGCCATAAGTGACCTCATTCCAGAATTTACTTACGAAAGCTCCCCAAGCCCCAATTACCGGATCTCTAAACCCTGCACTCTGTGCTCCTAAAGCTTAAGCCATGCGTCCTTCATCCTTCTCGCAGTCGGAAAAAGGTACCAGAGAAAAACAGAACACTAATTCCCAAACCCCACAACCCTAAATGCTGAACTCGAAGCCCTTATCCTAAACCCTTGAAGGTGATGGTGAGCCGCTTGCAGGCGCGCTGCTGCGGCCTCAGGTGAAAATCATGACACAAGTTTAGGGTTCAGGGTTCAAGGTTTATGGTGTTGACAAGTTTTTTTTGGTAACGCCCACCCCATTTTGTTTATGATCTGATAGAAGTCATATGCGGCTTGACGCCACCAAAATCTCGTTCCTGTTTAGGGCTTAGGGTGAAGAGTCTTGGGAGCCCATCTCTTCTTATACCAGACGTGCAGCTTGAAATATGCGGAAATCATGTGCAGGAGTTACGATAACTCTCTGGGATGGTTTATGTTGTAGAGTTCTTTGAAACCTGAGTGACAATCAGGAGGATTCTAGTCATATTCCTCTCAGGTGAGCTCTCTGGCTCAAACTGGGCTTCTGGTGTAGAGTCGTCTTAAGCCGAACCTAGATAGGGCTCTACGTTTGCTTGACACAGGGTCATGCAAAGCTTCTCCTTGACCTTTAAACTCTATGCCCTATGCCATTCCTTAGCAGCTTACCTTTTTTTCCATTCCTTCCAGTACTCAGGCTTTGCTCATCCGATCAACTTTCACCTCATGCGAGACAGCGAAGAGATGGCTCCTGCGTCCGAGAAGACTTGGTGCGCTGCTGTGATGGGGGCGGTTCAAACTTCTTAGAACCCCGAGAGGTAAGCTACTTGAGAAGACAGCAACCCATCAAACTACGTGCCAGTAAGGGATGCCGGAAAACCAGAGCGGGACCCACCATCTGGAAAACTGGCGAGGTGCCAAGAATTCTCAAAGCCTCCCAGTCGACGAACAGGTATAAGAACGAGTTCCTCCTGAAGACGCCGAAAGATCATGCAGAGGATGGCGCTGTGCTCGAAGTGCATCTTTCCTAGCAGGGTTCACGAAGTTCAGGGAGGCAATCCCAGCTTTCAGTCTGCTGATGTTTACGATTTTAATTTCAGCTCCCAACAGCTTCGCCTTGGTCGGGGGCCGTGCAGCAGTTTCTGCTCTTGTCTTGTATTCGAGTTGAGGGTTGTCAGCGCATGTGCGATGCCACGCCACGAGCTGCTGACGAGGACATGGCCAAAGCTGCGAAACCGCCTGTGGTGCATGACACTGCCGATTTGGTCCCTACGTCAGGCTATGCCAAGGGGCGAAGCGTGGGAGGTTTTAAGTTGCGAGTTTATAAGATTTCAGTTGTTCGGTTGAACTGGTGCATCAGAAGATCAGAAGCCAGCACTGCAACCCTGAGCACGTGCCGGACTCAATTGTGCTTCTGCTTGAAAGGCGACCCGCACCAGTACTATGGCATGGGAAATTACCAGTGCCCTGGATTTCTTGTTTCCGAGTCGCGTTGCTTCTGCAAACCCGTTCTGACTGCAGATCGCACTCCCCAAGCTCTGATTTCCAACACATGTGGACTCGCCATCTCTCAGTCTTCGCTGTCGTCACGTGTGGTTTTCTTGGGTTTCGCCCCGCAGGTACATGCATTATGACACGGTTCGGGAGCCAACTTTCCCTCGCAAGCTTGGCACCTGGTTTTCGCTGACTCTTTGATTGGGGAAGCTTTCGTCCCAAGATGGGTAAAGGAGTGTATGCTACCGCAGATGTTTTTTGGCAGCTCTGCAAAAAGGGAAGCCACTCCACTGAATACTGACCGCAATTTTGGATTTGGATGAGGCGTTGGGTGGGAGAATATCCTGCATGTCGAGATTGGAAAGGTGCTATCAGATAGCGCCACAAAGTTCTTAGATTCAACAGGCTGTTGGAGGGGGTTTTCGGCTTGTTCGTTGCTCGTCCACACTTCAGGCCAGATGTTGCCAAGGGTGAGCTGGCATCTGGCGCCACTGCCGATGCCCTGGTGGAAATTATGAGTCCCTTGTGCAACTTTGCAATAATTAAGATACCATGCATCAGGAATAGCGCCATACATCAGGAATAATGAGTCATGCCAGTCAAACGGAGAGGGCAAGTCATGCGTTTAGCAGGTCACGCGCACCGACGTCTGGCACGACCCGAAGGCTTGCAAGAAGCCAGTTGCATCGCAGCCTCTGCCATCACATGTTTTGTTTAGAATAGGGCGTACAGGGTTAGGGTGTAGGGATTAGAGCTGCAACCATCAAACGCACTTGAGAACTGCTTGGCATAGGAGCCTGCCATCGTCTCTGTCGCCAAGTTTTCGCCTGAGAATTTCCGACCTGTCCGGTCCTTGGCTTTGGATGTTGGTGAGCTGAAGGATTTCACCGGGGTCATCTCCTGTGATCCAAAATCCTGGTTGAAACCTGTTACAAGCTTGCGGCCCCTGAACTTTTTGTTTCAGGTGGGCTTTGCCGAGAACGCCCCCATGCCCACCAGCACCGTTCCAGAGGGAGCATTGGACTTCCGGGCTTGGGCCTTGGAGTAGGTGTACGGATCTTAGGCTTGCGGGCATTTGGCTGAGCTTGAGAATTGGGAGTTGAGGGGGTGGGGCTTGGGCTTTGGCTTGAGTGTTTGAGGTGTAGGGCTCGGGGCCTTTTTCTTGTTTGACGACCTGCTGCTGCTAAGACGAGCAAGTACGCGTGCCTGCACTTCGAGACTTCTCCGAGGCCAACCGCCTTCCCATTGGCCACGCCGACCGCCGGCCGTTCATCTACTTCATGACGGCGTGGGATTCTGAGTTCGGCCAGTGCAAGATCTTGTGCTCCATGGTTAGCACTGGAAACTGAACCTCAGAAAGTAGTTTCCATTTTATTTTCCTTTATCCCAATATAGCCCCAACATATACCCTATATAATCCCTATATATTCTAAGGGGGGGTAAGGGTTCCAAAGTACCTGGGACCCCACCCGTTGCCAGACGGACTCCCCAAGCCCAGGCCTTGCAACCCGGTTCCTGAACCCGAAGCCTTAACAGTTCTAGGCTATGTGAACCATTGTCTAAACTCCTAGTATCCCCCTTCATAGCCCTTATAATGCTCCCTTATATGATTTGTCCCCCAAAGCAACGTCTGAGCCTTCACCCCTACTACTGACTCTCCCATAGCAAGCAGGGATACCCAAAGCTTCAGGGACAGAGCAAATTTTGAGCGGCAACTAGATTGACGCTTTATAGATCCTAAACCATCTCCCCTAAAACTCTGAAATGACGGCCTTGAAAGGGCCAGTGCAGTGATCGCTGCTTCCCTGATCCGTGCGGTGGCCGGAAAGCTCATCTTGACGCTTTGGCCTGCGAAGGCCGCCGGGTTGGGGTTCAGGGTCCAGGGCTTGGGTTTAAGGCGGGGGCAGCGCAAAGGCTACTTCCCTTGGACTTTAGTATCGAAGAGTAACAATTAGCACAGGGTCATTGAAAGTATAGCAGCAGTATCCTAAAGGCAGTGTGCCATGGGTGTTGAATTGCGTAACAAGCACAAGCCAACACGTTATGTGCAATGTGGAAGCGCTTTGTTTGGACATGCTGCCCAAAACTGGGCCAAAAAGTCTACAAGCCCCAGCAAGTGCTACGAGGCCCACACCAAAGGTTGACAAATCTTCCAGCGTTTGCAGTAGGCAGCTTCCAACCTAGCTATAAGTCCTGCAGACGCAGGACGTGTTCGCAGCAGGCATCGTGGAGGCGCACCAGTTGACATCTTTGGCTTGAGTCGTCTCCAAGCATATCAATGCAACGACATTTCGCTTAAGCCTAGACTCATGGGCGCAGTCCCAGCCAGGTGGATCTGCGGCCAGTTCAGGTGGGACAAAACTTCACCGCTTCTCCCTCAGTGATGTCTTCCATCAATCGCGAGCAAGATGCCAGACAGGCCACGTCATGTTGAGATTTATAGAAGTGCAGGCAACATTCGGAGGTCAAATGGTTGCATAGGGACTCAAAAGAGATTAATTCTGGGGGTCCTCATTGAAGAACTTTCCCTCGACGCTGGGTTCCCACATTCTGAGGTCAAGTGGCGTGAGAAGCCTGTCTTCATCCGCAAGCGCACCGAAGACCAGATCGCCTCCGCCAAGAAGGCCGGGTTTGGGGTTTTAGCGGTTATGCTTTAAGACTTTAAGCTTTAGGCTTTTATTTGTAGGTAGATTCCTGTATATGCCTCCAAGAGCCAGTCTGGTGATTGAGGCCTCTGAGCAATTGACAAGCCACCTGCAGTCGCAGGGATGACGTCAAGTTGGATGCCAACCACTTTTCTCATTTGGTTTATCTATCAGTTGATAGGGACAGTAGGCGTTGCAGTGTGCGAAGAAACCTAGAGGTTGTTGACACGACTGCATTTCCTTGAGCCTCTGGATGTTGACCACAAACCCTGAGACTCTCAACTCTGGATGCTGCTGTGAGCCCCACAAGAGCGTCTTGCAAAGATGGCTGTGTGTGTCAGAGTGTGTGTGTGTGTGTGTGTGTGTGTGCGTGTGCTTTTGGCTGTATTACTGCAAGGGTAGCACTCATCAGGGAAAAGAGCAACCTACCATGACGTTCTTTGTCCAGAGGATGACGTCATCGCACCTTCTATGCGCGAGCCGGCCACGGATGCGGAGCGCTGCAAGAGGCAGGGTTTGAGGGTTTCCGGTTGAGGGTTTGGGGTTAAGAATTCAGGGTTCAGTCAGGGTTAAGGGTTTAGGGTCAGATATGGGATGCCGTTTAGGCAGCTCAGGCTTAGGCTCAAAATAGATTTAAAAATCCTTTTTTGCAAGGTTACAGGTGCAGTGTGCAGAGGTTTGTGGAGAAGTCCCTCTTTTAGGATAGCTGTCTGGGATCCTCTTTGCTCTTCGTAATTTAGATTCTTGCACGGTATCTTCATTACGGGAACAAACAACATGGGTCCAGTCAGACATGACTATGCATCTTCGTTTTGAAATGCACATTGAAGTAGACAGAGTATGCACGGCATCGAACTTATCATGGGCGGGGAATGAAAGCGCTCGAAGCAACAAAATCCGAAAACTTAAGAAAGTCTACTACTGACCGTGAGAAGTGTTGGCGCCTGCTGCGCAGTAGGGAGTGCATGATTGGCAAGGCAAAGAAGTTATAAAACATCATAGTGCCCTATGCTTCTTAATGCTTGCTATGATGGCTTGTGCTGTTGTTTTGTAATATGCTGTCCCAGCATCAAAGGAGAGGTGCCTCAGCATGCTTGTAAAGGGGTTTGATTGTGCCCTCGACCATTGTCTGAGCTCATGCCCATGCACCTGCACATGGCTTACGCAGGATCGGCTATGCTTCTACTCTGGCACGCGGTGCAGCACATGTTAAGCTGGTTGACAAACCTTCATGCCTCGCAATCTGCCCTCGGATCTTAAACTTTCAACCCGGAATATCAGAAGCTAGGGCCTATGCATACTGTGGAAGGCCTGAGTGGCTGATTTGCATCGGTGCCGCAAGCCCAGTTCCGGTCTGCCGTCACAGCTCTCAGATGCGAGGGTGTCTCCACGTCAGGGTGGCTTCTGGGGTCCGGGAGAAGTCGCAATGTGTCGAGAGTTGAACAGAGCCGGTGGTTTTGCTCCAAGGCCTGGTGTGCAGATTTCAAAAGTTCTGATCTATATCAGGCGCGACGCAAGCGAACAAGCTCCACCATATTGTAACAACAGGTGCCGCATCCGAAGAAAGCTCAAGCCAGACTTACTGGCGCCGAAGCGGGAGTGGTGGAGTGGATTCCTGTAGTGATGCCTACATACACCCCTCGAATACATGAAGGTTCATGGGACTTGGTAACTACTTATAACTGGGGTTTTCACGCTACGTATGGTTGAGGTAACCCCTAGAAGGTCATTTAGGGGGATTATAAGCATGGTTATGAGCCCAGTTTTATGTAGTTACTAAGTTCCACCACGAACCTTCAAGTAGCACCTGTATTCCCTTCCCACTCCCCTTGATTTTCCACCAAGCAGAGCACCCAACATAAAACCCCCAAGCTCCGAAACCTCAAGCCCAACATCCCTGAACCCAAAACCGGCATATACACTAAACCCTAAACCGAAAACCCTGAACCCAGAAATGTCCACTCTGCGAGCTTGCATCCCTTGGCAGCCTTAGCACTGCCAAAGCAGGTTACAGAAACGCTGCGACACAAGATCTCCCTGGGTATGTGCACATCTGGGTTTTTGGGTGAAAGGCTTAGGGTGTCAGATGTTTGTTGTACAACTTACCTAACCCTAAGCAACATGGGAAGTATGGTATAGACACCCAAGGGAAAGAACAAACCGGTGTTTTGCACCCATGAACTCCAAGATCCACTATCGTGAGTAGGCCGTGCATAACCAAGCCCACGAAATTCCTATGTTCTCATCATAAGAGCCATAGTCTAAACTCCGTAAAAGGGTGGTTATATAGAAGCTCCGGTAAGGGCTAAACCCTAAACCCTAATTAAGGCATCCCGAGAGACCCTGTTACCCAAGATGCAGTTCCGAAACGACTTCAACCTATAGTCCCCCTTAAGTAGATGGAATATGACTTTGGGTATGTTATAATAAGATCCCCATATACCCCAGATTCTATCTACTTAAGGGGGACTGTAGATAGTTAGGAAGATGAAAACAAAACTGTGCATGTAACAAACAGTTTGTTTTGGTCCCCTTAAAATGCCCCTGAGCCCAATTCTGGCGTTTTAGGTCCTAACATATACCCGGAAATCAGGTCTGCACGCACCTGGGTTGCATCCCCCAGCCTGATGCTGGGAACTATGGCCCCTTGGAAGCGTTGGGGTTTCTAAGGTTTAAGCTTCAAAGAGCAATGGGCTTTTGGTTGAGGGGTTTGTAGTTCTCGCAAAAGTCAGGATTTTGGGTTGCCCGTCGTCTTATCTTTGTTTGGATCTTCACGGGGAATTAGTCCGGTCATCTACCCTTTTCTCCAGTTTTACTGTGTAGCAATACCGCTTCATCTACAAAGCACACTTGGTAGTTTCCCAAAATAGGGGGGACCCCAATATAGACCCTGATATATTATAATCCTTATTATGGGGACCCCCAAAAGGGTACCCCTAATTTTGGGAAGCCCCCACTTCTAGCATTTCTCATCTCCTGGATTTTGCACCGGAAGTGTCAGAAGCATCTGCCGTTTAGGGTTTAGGGTTAGGGCGCCTTTCGCCTGCCCCCGCCACAACTCCTGTCGTGCTGCGGAGTTTGCTGGATCCCGATTGGTGATGGCGTTGATTTCTGCTTACCCTGCTTGCCTCTGTCCCTTTTGCACGAGATTTCCCAAGTTTCATGCATTGCGCAAGCATGCCTTTATACCTCAGAGGGACATTCCTAATCCTGAAGCAGTGCAAGAGCACAAAGCAAGCTGGTCTGCTGTGTTATCATTTGCTGAGTGCATGACTGCTGAGGTGGCTACTTCTGCCCCTGCCATGGATCTCACTATGACTATGCTGGTCGCATTCGTCAGGCTTTCTCTTTTGAGCTGCCGAAAGGCTGTAAGCATGTCGATGCCACCTGTGTGTAGGACTTAAGTTTTAGGCATGTCTTGAACTGTCCAACACACAGCAGAAAACTCGTTCCTGCTAAAGGCACAAATACTTTGGAGAACCTTCCAATTAGAATGTCAGGACTTGTTTGTGCAAGCCGGATGAAGGGCAAGTAAGGACGGAACCTAAACCCCAAAGCGTAAAGAGTCAAATCTTTTGCCTGAGTCAGGCTCCATTCTAGGAATATCGTAGGATGCTTGCAGGGTACCTTTCAGGGTTGAAGGTTCGGATTCCTGCAGTTTCTGGTTTGGGGTCTAGGGGTTTGTAAAAATTGCCGGTACCTGCTTTAGATAAACTGGCAGCACCAGCACTGTCCGAGTGCGCCCAAACTCTCATTGAAACTTGAAGGTCTTCTGTCTGTGTCCTTGTATGCAAGACGCAAGTTGTATTCCCTCGACCTCAAGATTTGAGCCTAGAGTCTAAGCTCCTGTGCTTGATCCTGGGATCATTGAATCCCAAGTTCGCACTACCGCCTTGAGATTCCTGAACCTATTTGAACCCTAAAGCCTCCAAACCCTACACCCTAAAATCCTTCACAAGAGCCTTTCTAACCTGTAAGCGGGAGGAAAAGAGGCGCCTTAAAAAAAGAAAAAACCTTCACAGCTAAATACATGTACAACGCAAAACTTCAAACGAAACTTGCGTACTCTAAACCCCGCACGCTATCCGCACTTTGGTGGCAGGGCCCCGCGCCCAAGAATCTCGAAGTTCCTCCGCCGGGGGCCAAAGGGTGATCCTGACAAAGGGAAGGGGGACTAATCTTACCCTCCTTCAAACTAACATGGAACTCTGTATCGGCTTGGGGGGAAGGCTCGTTTGAGGTTAAGTCTTAGTCCGCGTAATTTGTGGGAGTGTACGTGGTCAAGCACTTTTGCTCCTGTTCTTGTGGTCTCCAGTATATTCAGGTATAGCGAGCCCCTATACATGCGAGATGTTTTCGGGGCACGCATGTTTGAATATTATCGCGAGACACGACTGTTGCTGCACAAAATCCTGCATGACCCCACTGTCCTCATCCATTGGGGTTATCGGATTTTGTACCAGTGCGTTCTAGGACCTAGTCTAGGAATCACTTGATGCAGTGCAAGGCATACCTTCCTGGATGAGAACACCGTGAAGCTGGGTTGAGCTGGCTGATGCCAACCAAGACCCCGCCAAGAGTCCGTGCTCAGCCCCTGCTGAGCAATTCTTACATAAATCCTGTGCACTATGACTGGTTTTTCAAGTGGGAAGGGGTTTGGCTTGATCTATGCTTGGCAGGGAGGCTCCGAGCAAAATGTGCCGCTGTTCGTTTTTGTTTCTTGATTGCTGGTTGAGGTGCTGCAAAAAAGCGTGATTGCAAACATGTGCTTCCATCTGAGTCTTAGTAGCGCGAGACCCTGCAACCTTTCTTTGAGCCTAGATCAATACTCTGGAGTTTTGCTCCCCCAAGCCAGTGTGGAACACCAACAGCAGAAGAAGTTCTGCTCTTTTGAATGCCTCTATGTGGTTCCAAGTCTGCTTCAGGGAGGGTAGATACTGAATATGTGGACGGCTGCAGGGATCTGGGCCCTGACCACTAGAGCCCAACCCCCTGGCTGTGTGGCTCCGTGCAGGAGTGATGGTGAAGAGCTTCCAGGCCGAAATCTCTTGCCTGACTTTCAAAATGCACGTAATGTAGACCCCTGATTAATAAACCCACACCCCTTAATAGGGATTATAATAGGGATCCTAACATTAAGGCCCTTAAAAGGAGGGGGTTTATTAATCATGGGTCTACATTATATTGATCCCTGTAAGCTGTGGGGATGACGTGCTGTGGATGAAGGAAAGCTTGCAGCACATCATATCTACCATAACCTGGAACATTATGGGGGTCTCATGTTTTGTCTTGGGGGAAATTTAGAGTAAGGATCCTTCTTGGGGTAAGTAAATCCGATCAAAGCATCTTAGGCCAGCTGCACGGAGCCACTTGCTCTCCGCATCAATCTTGACGTTGGCTATGTGGCTCAAGAGGGCAGGCCCTGCCCCTGCCACCAGCTGCGCTCGCCTTCTTCGAGAACTTGGCCGCGAGCTTGGAGAGCAGAAGTATGAAAGCCTACCACAAGCATCAGGAGCAGGTAGACTCCCTATACCATTATTGTCGTCAACATCAGTGTCAGTAGTGCAACTGCTGTTCTTTTGATTGTTTTTTTTGTCATTTTGACTATCGTGCTTCTCGGTGCCATGGTAGCAACTTGATAAGCGCAAATAGTTCCGTTGGTTTCAGCGTGCCTTAGCATGCTGACTGTTGTGTATACTCCTGTGTACCCCTCCTCTATGCGCTTGCATAGCACAAGCTGACTTCAGTCTCTGAGGCAATGATGAAATACCCATGATGGCCAGAAGCATCGTAACAGATGTGATGACCTGCCTTTTTACCCCAAGCCTGTCCGTGGCTGCGAGGAGCTGTGGACGGATTTACGGATTTAAGCAGATAATCGCACAAGTGGCACGACATGACAACGCGTATTTTCCAGCCCGAAAAGGTGACATGCCCAAGACTACTGAAAGTCCGAAAAAGCTGCGAAAGCGAAAACAAATTTAAGAAATCCAAAGCTCCTGAACAGGCGACAAGATCCTGACAAGTACCGTAAAATTCCGAAAAAGTCGAGAAGTCCACACAGAATGAGAAAAGTCAAAAAAGCTGAAAATCAAGCCAGGATGCCAGAAGTAAAAAGAATAAAACGCTCATTGTGAACATCCCGGGAAACTTGCAAAGTTTACCAAGATCAAAGAAATCTCAACGAATGAAAGGTCGACTTGTGCAACGACAGGAGTTTGAAACATGCATAAGTTCTGTAGGGCTACTCATGTTTTGCTTAGCAGGGCAATTGAGACATCAAGATCGAATGAGGTTACCATCAGGTTACTGCAAGTAACCATAAGCTGGATTCTGTAGCCCCCCAAGCCTAACGAGCGGTGGAGCTTCCCAAACCTAATCCTTAGCTCTGGAAGGTTGATGGCGAGAGGGCTTTGGGTTTCAGTGTGATGTCAGTATGCCTGAGAAGATCCCAGGCTCCCTGCAACCCTTTTCATTGACAATCCAGGTAAGACTCAGACTGAAACCTGAATCCATGTTCTCATACCTCTGAAAAAAAAAGGTTGCGCTTTAGCCCCATGCCCCAGCCCCTTTGCTTTTCTGGGAACCAGCAGCCACCACAGGGTCTCTCTGGCGAGTGCTGCAAAGATGTCCCTGACTGAGTCTGGGAGCTGGGCAACTGGGAGCTTGCAACTAGGGTTATATTGGGGTTATATATATAGGGGTTATTTAGGGGATAGTGGAAAAGGAAGTGGAAAGTACTATATATGAGCTATAGTGAGTCTGGGGTGTAGGCAGCTGGGAGCTTGCAAGCCTAGTAAGGTTTACACTTACTTTATAGCACCCGACAAGTAATGCAAAGGGTGCAAAGCTGTGGTGTTTAGTAACGTCTTCGGAAGGAACCAAACATGTGGAACTTGGTGTTTGGGGGGGCAAAAAGGTATTTTGTGCAAATGTAAAGTGGGAAAACACCACGTAGGCTGCAGATTTCCCCACATCTCAGATGCATCTCTAGGATCATCGTGTTCTGAAGCTTCTGGCATTTTCATCCAGGATCGGCCGTCTGTGACCCCAAAAGAACTAACATCCTCCTTGGATGCTTTTCGGACACCGAAAACGCACCTGAACCCCGAAGCTGAAACAGAGTGGTACATAAGGACTGAGGACCCCGCATCTGCACAAATGGTGACAATACAGGTAACAAAGGATAATCTTATTCATATCAGGGCTCCAGTATAGATTCCTTTTACACAAAACCCGATATGCACAAGGGGGACCCCTCATTTTGCGAGAAGATCATCGCTTCAACTTCAGAAGGTTCTACCGTGTTGAGGAAGGCGGACTAGTTGAGGGTCTGGGGTTCAGGGGTTAGGGCGTGCAGTTTCGGGCAACAGGTTTCCAGTTCAGCATCTGGGAACTACCCCTCAAAAAACAGGATTTGTATTGCAGGGGCCTGAAGCTCAACGCTCGCTCTTCAATCCAAGGCAAGTTATCCCAAACCCTTCACTGGATCAATGTTAGGGATCCTTCATACTTTTTGGGGTTACCTCACGCAATAACGCTGGGGGTAGCTCTCAGACAAGGACGCGCTTCATACTTTTTGGGGTATTCCTTATAGTTATGTAAACAGGATCCTTTTTTCTTCCTAGGGTAACGTGGGCTAAGTTCAGGATAGCGCGCGTGCTGTCGCGCACTTTGCCGGCGGCCCGGCCCACGGCCCACACCGCAGCTCTGCAGCAACACAGCTACATGGGGGATTGTCAAAAT